CACGACACACTGAGGACTACGCTTGCGGCTCTTGGGTTTGCTCCTTCTACTGCTGACCCGTCGCTGTTTCTTCGCACCGACACTTCCCTGCCGCCGTTCTACATCCTCGTGTACGTCGACGACTTGGTCTTTGCCACAGCGGACACTGCTGGACTCGCCTACGTGAAGTCCGAGCTGCTGAAGAGACACACGTGCACAGACCTGGGTGAACTGCGCAGCTACCTTGGCTTGCAGATCACTCGGGACAGAGCACGCCGCACCATTACCCTGACTCAGTCACACATGGTGCAGCAGGTCCTTCAGCGCTTCGGCTTCACGTACTCCTCGCCTCAGGCCACTCCTCTGCCTACTCGCCACTCACTCTCAGCTCTGCCTTCGGATGAGTCCGTAGAGTCGAGTGGTCCGTATGCAGAGCTTGTTGGCTGCCTCATGTACCTGATGACCTGCACTCGACCTGACCTTGCATACCCTCTGAGCATCCTTGCACGCTATGTTGCTCCTGGGAGACACCGACCAGAGCACATGGCTGCAGCGAAGAGGGTATTGCGCTACCTGTGCAGTACGTCGGGCATGGGGCTAGTGCTTGGAGGGCGGAGTCCAGTGGTCCTTACTGGGCACGCAGACGCTTCTTGGGCTGACGACCAGGCTACGCAGCGGTCGTCACAGGGTTACACCTTCAGCCTTGGTTCCGGCTCTGTCTCGTGGCGGTCTACTCGCTCGTCTTCGGTTCTCGGCTCCAGTTGTGAGGCTGAGATCTACGCCGGGGCCATGGCTGCACAGGAGCTTCGCTGGCTCACCTACCTGCTGACTGACCTTGGAGAGCTGCCTCGTTCTCCTCCAGTGCTGTACGTAGACAACAAGGCCATGTTGGCCTTGTGTCGAGAGCAGCGCTTGGAGCACAGAACGAAGCACATTGCTCTCCGCTACTTCCTTGCTCGTGAGCTGCAGCAGCGTGGTCAGTTGCGACTTGCTTACGTGGCCTCTGAGGCCAACACTGCTGATGTGTTCACCAAGGCACTTGCGCCTTGCGACCATCAGCGCTTTTGTACCCAGCTGGGTCTTGTACCTGTCTTGCCTCACTTGCTCTCTTCTTGACTTTACTTGTACTTTGACATATATATACCTGCTCTTGCTTGTCTAGTTTTATATATATGTCTTTACTCCTGCATGTGAACTGGCCTCTGGCCTTGCTCTTGTGCTCGGACTGTGTGGTGACTTTGTGATCCACCCTGAGCTTGTTTTGCTTTGCTTGACTGGTCTTGTGACCCCTTGTTCTCCCCCACTTTGCCTATGGGGGTGTGTCAGATTATTATAGCTGATGCATGTTTGTAGGCCATAGTGGGGTAGCACATATGGGGTACAGTTTGCTAGGGTTGTATTTGTACCCAACTCTGACTTAGTCAATTCATTCCTCTGCTCATAGTTTCACACATGAAACGCGCGTCAAATTGCCAACAAGGCGTGGAATCACGCCCGCCACGCCTTGCTCGCCTGGCCAGATTCATCGTACCGAATGTGGCCCATGCCAACGCACACGCAGTTTAGTGTGCGACTGCCCAATCAGGGTCGACTGTCGAGCTAGCCACGACGCAGTAAAACCACAAACGGGGCATATGCGGCAAGATTCCTTGCCAACAATGCGCCGAACCTCACCACATCAGCTCCTCTACGGGGAGATCTTGACTGTTTCTCCCCTTAGCCTGCAGAGGAACCTGAGCCGCGAAGTTGGAGGGGTCTCGGGCAAGGGTTTCAAACATGCGTCATTCTCCCTGTTTTCTTCAGATTTCTTGTTTCCCATCGGCCTGCCTTAGCTATGGCGGGCCGACCAGGCACCTATTTCCTCTTTAATCGCCGAGGTGCTGCTGACAAAGCTCCCGATTACTCCAAGTGGCAGAGTCGTCCAGCGCCAATACCTCCTGCTCCTCCTGCGCCTCCTGCTCCTCCTGCGCCTCCTGCACCTCCAGCGCCTCCTGCTCCTCCCGCTCCGCCTATCGTCGTCATCAACGGTGTGCCCATTCTGCAGCTTCTCCCTCGCGGCTACTCTGCTTTCGATGCGTACATCTCCGAGCCCGAGCACGAGCCCGAGCACGAGCCCGAGCGCAGCGACGAAGATGAAACCGGTCCCGGTCTTTCGCCACGTTGGGGAGACCCGGAAGACTGCCCGCACGACGAATCCGCCACCGGTGCCGAAGACGATGTTGAGTGGTGGGCGGCCGACGGTCTTCCCGAGGACTTGCCTGTCCCAAGTTTTCCCCCGCCCAATAAAAAAAGGCCCCACCCCTGCACCCAGAATCGTGATTCCCGCCCCCCGTCTCCCAGGAACAGGCGCTCAAGGCACAAGCGGCACTCCTATACTTCCCAGGAGAAGCTGCACTGGATTTCACAGCTGGAGTCCGGTGCTGTGAGTATGCGGCAGATGGCACGCGACTCTGGTATCTCCCGAAAGTCCCTGGCAGTATGGAAATCGCCGAAGGGTGATCTGGAGGGCGCGCATGGGGCTCGCAAGCGTCTTCACGGGCGTGGTCGGTCGTCGTGGTATCGCGACATGGAGATCCAGGTCTACTCACGAGTACTTGCCGCCCGAAAAAAGTGCCTCGCAGTGTCGCTCGGTCGCCTGCAGCAGTGGTCGCGAGAGGTGATGAAGAGCCTGCATCCTGAGGTAAAGTGGGCGGGATCTCAGAGGTGGACCGAGCGTTTTCGGCGCCGTTGGAATCTCACTACCCGAGCGAAGACACGTGTCGGCCAGAAACTATCCTCCGGTGAGTGGGCGTGTTGTATTCGCTCTTGTTTATCCCCTTTGCCAACCGGTCGATGTGGTAATGATTTTTTATGCTTTCTGCCTCCCTGTCCCTTCCAGAGTGCGAGACGCAAGTGCGAAACTTCTGGAAGTTCGTGCGACACACCCGCCGACAGTACGGAATCGACAACCGCTGGATCATTAATGCGGATCAGACCCCGCTCTGGCTCGAAATGCCAGCTGAACGCACTGTCGAGGAGGTGGGGGTCCGCTCCGTTCCCATCCGCAGCGGCGGCTATCAAAAGGAACGCGTGACGGTGATGCTCGCCTGCACCGCCAGCGGCGAGAAGCTCAAGCCCTGGGTGTTCTTTAAGCGCAAGACAGTTCCAAAGGGGAATTTCCCCTCCGGTAAGCCGAGCAGCTTGTGCACTCCCGGTATGATTTGCATGTGTTTTTTTTTTTTTTACTGATGTCAATCTCAACGTTGTGCGGATGTGCAGATGCCGTGGTCGCCGCACATCCCAACGGTTGGATGGACGCGGAAGGCGTCCTCGCGTGGCTCGACGGTACGGTGGGCCCGTACGTCAACCCGAGGTTCGGAGTGCGCAGCAGGAGGGCGATGTTGGTGCTTGACTCCTACCGCGGGCACCTGACTGATCAAGTGAGGGCGAAATTCGGCGAGCTGCGTATCGTGCCGGCCGTCATACCAGCTGGCTGCACATCGGAGGTGCAGCCGTTGGACGTCGCGGTGAACCGCTCCTTCAAAGCAGCTGTGCGTCAACAGTACCAGGAATGGTTCGAGAGCGAGGGTGTTGACTGCCTGACTGAAAGAGGTGAGCATTAAGATTTAGGACTGATTGTTTTTCAATGATTGATCCTGTTCTAACTGATCAATCTTTCTACGTGTGGCAGGCAACATCCGCAAGCCACCACCAGAGCTGACGCTCAAGTGGATCTCCAAGGCCTGGAAGGCGGTGCCCAAGGAGTTGATTGAGCGCTCGTTTCTGACCTGCGGCATCAGTCTCAGGACGGTCTCTGCCTGCAGCACCGGCGGGACGCCGTCAAAGGCGAAGTGGATCTTGACGACGAGATTGCAGCAGAGCAGATGGATTCTGCTGCAACAACGTAGACGAGCCAGAGTCGGACGGTGAGACCGCCGACGAAGACACTGCCACTGCTGAGAAGGATGCCTAGGTTGTGTGTAAAGTAGAAATGTGTAAGGCGTGAAAATGTTGTAGAAAATGTAGAAAATGCGAAAATGTAGTCGGATAGTAGGATATTAATTGTAGGATATCAATTGTAACAGCGTAATACTTGGGATAGTAGTTGTAACAGCGTTAAACTTAAAAAAGTAGTATTTAAAAGGTGGCGCTTATAATGTGTATGGTAGTAGGGGTGCGCTTATAATCCGTAAGGCTCGAAGCATGCGCTTATAATCGAGGACCGGATATAAGCGCCCTCATCCTTTTATAAGCGCCGGCGCTTATCCGAGGCCTGCGCTTCTATCCGGGGGCTTACGGTACAAGGCTATATAACCAGGGTAGGGCCTTTCCGGACAATTAGTTACGACTGAGAATGTATGCACTTCCTATAGTGTAATATCGTTCACCAAAAAGTGTATCGAAGTGTCCATTAACGAAGTCCCTGGTTCCCAGGTTTCAAGGCGAAACCCCAATTGCACGCCTCGAATCGCAGCCACCTGCATTGAACGTTGGGTCTCACGCAACAAGCTCGTTGTCTCCAGCAACAATACCCACGTTTCTGCCAAGCAATTCGTTTAACCCTTTGTTTTCTAGAGCTTTCATTTTATCACATTTATGCTTCACACCCACCGCTGCTATTATCTTTTTGTACGTCTCGTTCCCGCCGAAATCATTTTTGTCAATTGCCCAGCGCTTGGATGGGTGTGTGGTGTTACCGCATTCGTGCGGGCTTGTTTGTCGAGGGTAGTGGAAGAGCATAAGGACGGACGGCCCTCCCCTCACCCAACAGCAGCTTAGGTCAAGACTGGACGGCCCTCATCTCTGCATATCATATCTCAAACTAAAACCATACATTTTGCCTACCTCCCGACTAACGTGTCACTTCCGCATTGGTGCAACCACGCCTACACAAGCACCCTATTACCCTCTAGATTGTCGTACCGCAGACAATCCGCAGCCCCTGCTGATTGCTTTTCTTCCTGTGTTCGTTACCCGTCATGCACGTTAGTTAATCGCAGCAACTTGTTCTAGGTAGCACGAGGCGGGGCCACGAGCCGAGGATGTCGCTGCTGACGGAGTACGAGGGGTGGAAGGAATCGCCGGACGTCGAGTCGCTGCTGCCGTCCACGTCGCAGCCATCGGAGTCGCAGCCGCCGGCATCCCAACCCTCTGTACCGTCCCTTACCACTCCGTCTTCAGCGACCGACTCCGCTCAACTGCCGTCCCCTCGCCGGCCACACCCACACCCGCCGGGCGCTGCCGCCATTCCGTCCGCCTCTACACCGGCAACCGCAAGGCTTCCGCGAGGGGAGAGCGATCGCGGGCCGCGGTCGAATGAGGGGGAGGCGGCGGAAGCGCAACGCCAGGCGGCGGAGCAACGCCTTCCGCCGTCCGTCAGCACCGGCGGCAAAGCGAAGCAACGCAGCGGGCCCTTGAACCGGGTAACGTCCGCGCTGCGTCCCATGTCCGCCATGTACCCCCGGCGCAAGCCGCTAGGCGCGGGAGTGCGCTTCGACGACGATCGCGACGTCCCCTCGCCGAGAGCCGACGGCAGCAACAGCTTACCGAGGGCGAGCGCCGCGGTCGACGCGCAGCCTGACGACGGGGGGGCGCTGACGGGCGGGCAGAAGAAACCGGGGGAGGAAGGCGGAGTGCAAGGGGAGGGCGGTGTGGGGAAGGTGGGGTCGGGGCGGAGCAAGTGGCAGATGGTGCGGCGGTCGCTGAAAGACATCAAGGAAGTGGAGCGCGAACTCAAGGACATGGCGGACACCGCGCGCGGAGGGGCGGCGGCGGACGACGAGGGCGCGAGTGAGGGCGCGGACGACGACGACCTGGAGCGGCTCGCCAAGGACCTCGAAGCGCTGCGCGCCGAGCGCAAGGCGCGGCAGCAGCAGCAGAAGCAGCAGCGCGCGACGAACCCGATAGGCAGCGCGGGCGGACCGCCGCAGTCGGCGGTGCACGTGGACATGCCGGGCGGCGTGCGGCAGCGCAAGATGGTGCGGCAGAGTGTGATCATGTGCATGGACCCCATGTGCAACCGCTGCCCGCCCGAGATGCACCTCCACATGCGCAAAATGATGGCCGCCGCCGCGCCCGGCGCGAGCGCGGCGGTGACGCCAGTGGCGAAGGACTACTCGGCGATGGACTGGATGCTGGACGACGATGGCGACGAGGATGGCGACGGCGAGGAGGAGCTGCTCGTCACACTGCGCTGCTGCGGCCTCCGATTCACCTACGTGAGCCCCCACACCCGCGCTGCTCCCATTCACCTACGTGAACCACGCGCACTGCCCACTCTCAGCGATGTTGAAATCGCTTTCGAGAATTCTCAAAAGCGACTTCAACGTTGCCACTGTCGGTGCCCGTGCTGCATTGCCATTGCCACGCCATGCCACGCCATGCCACACCATGCCACGCCATGCCACGCCATGCCATGCCACGCCATGCCATGCCATGCCATGCCTTGCCGTGCTGCATTGTCATTACAACGCCATGCTGTGCCCACCAGCGTGCCATGCCCACCACCTTCCCATCCCTCCCCCTCCCATCCCTCCCATCGATCCCACCCCTCCCCACCCCTCCGCGCCCCTGGCAGCGGCGGCGGCGCTTCCTGCTGCGGCGGTTCGTGGCGGAGCTGTGGCCGCCGCCGCTGCTGCATCCGCACAGCTACTACGTGAAGCTGTGGGTCAAGCTGCAGTTCGGCATGATGCTCGCCGCCTTCCTGCTCGACCCCTTCTTCCTCCTCGTCCTCTCCGTCTCCCAGGTACGCTACCCGCCCCTCCCTCACCCAGTACCCGCCCCTCCCTCACCCAGGTATCCGCCCCTCCGTCACCCACCTGTCTCTCCGTCAGCAGGTGCCTCTCCGTCAGCAGGTGCCTCTCCGTCAGTCAGGTGCCTCTCTGTCAGTCAAGTGACTCTCTGTCAGTCAGGTGCCTATCCGTCAGTCAAGTGGTTCCCACCATCCTGGGTTCCACTCTCCTTCGTCCAATCATATATTTTCCGCAAAACACCGTCCACATCATTTGTCTGCATGTGTGTGTGCGTGTGTGCGCGTGGGCATGCGCAGGAGAACGTGTGTGTGTACACGAGGTGGACCTTCGCCTACTGTCTCGTCGGCATTCGCACCTTCCTTGACTTCCTCACGCTTCTCAACATACTCGTGCATGTGAGTCTCTCTCAACATACTCGTGCATGTGAGTCTCTCTCAACATACTCGTGCATGTGAGTCTCTCTCAACATACTCGTGCATGTGAGTCTCTCTCAACATACTCGTGCATGTGAGTCTCTCTCAACATACTCGTGCATGTGAGTCTCTCTCAACATACTCGTGCATGTGAGTCTCTCTCAACATACTCGTGCATGTGAATCTCTCTGAGCATTCTTGTACATGTTGAGGCTCTCGCCAATCCGTGTCGTGCTTGTGCGCTCACCCTTCTCTCTGCCACTGCATCACCTCGCCCTTCAACCCCCATTCCCCTCCCCACTTTCCTCCCCCCCTCTCCACTTTTTTCCGCACTCTTTCCTCCCCGCTTTCCTCCCCACTGTCCCTCTCCGCTTTCCTTCCATCGCTGCTCTATCCCAACAAACCCCCGCGTGCGTATCCCCTCTCTCCTCCTCACCCCTCTCGCCCGCCCACAACACCTCCCCCCCTTCCTCCCGGGCGGGCATCAGACGCGCATGATGTTCAACGCGACGCACGACCATGTGAAGGAGGGCAACATACGCAACTCCAGCGGCGAGCCCGTGAAGCTGGGCGACCTGGTGGTGGACGGCCGCGCCATCCTCATCAACTACCTCCGCACGCTCTTCCTCGCCGACCTCCTCGCCCTCATCCCCCTCCCCCAGGTCCGCCCTCCCCCCCCCGCCTCCACCCAACTTCCGCCACTCCCCACCTCCGTCCCTCGCCCACTTCGCCCGTCCATGGGTCCCTCCGGCCATTTTAGGTCCCTCGTTCCCTAGGGGCCATTTTAGGTCCCTCGTTCCCTAGGGGCCATTTTAGGTCCCTCGTTCCCTAGGGGCCATTTTAGGTCCCTCGTTCCCTAGGGGCCATTTTAGGTCCCTCGTTCCCTAGGGGCCATTTTAGGTCCCTCGTTCCCTAGGGGCCATTTTAGGTCCCTCGTTCCCTAGGGGCCATTTTAGGTCCCTCGTTCCCTAGGGGCCATTTTAGGTCCCTCGTTCCCTAGGGGCCATTTTAGGTCCCTCGTTCCTTAGGGGCCATTTTAGGTCCCTCGTTCCCTAGGGGCCATTTTAGGTCCCTCGTTCCCTAGGGGCCATTTTAGGTCCCTCGTTCCCTAGGGGCCATTTTAGGTCCCTCGTTCCCTAGGGGCCATTTTAGGTCCCTCGTTCCCTAGGGGCCATTTTAGGTCCCTTGTTCCCTAGGGGCCATTTTAGGTCCCTCGTTCCCTAGGGGCCATTTTAGGTCCCTCGTTCCCTAGGGGCCATTTTAGGTCCCTCGTTCCCTAGGGGCCATTTTAGGTCCCTCGTTCCCTAGGGGCCATTTTAGGTCCCTCGTTCCCTAGGGGCCATTTTAGGTCCCTCGTTCCCTAGGGGCCATTTTAGGTCCCTCGTTCCCTAGGGGCCATTTTAGGTCCCTCGTTCCCTAGGGGCCATTTTAGGTCCCTCGTTCCCTAGGGGCCATTTTAGGTCCCTCGTTCCCTAGGGGCCATTTTAGGTCCCTCGTTCCCTAGGGGCCATTTTAGGTCCCTCGTTCCCTAGGGGCCATTTTAGGTCCCTCGTTCCCTAGGGGCCATTTTAGGTCCCTCGTTCCCTAGGGGCCATTTTAGGTCCCTCGTTCCCTAGGGGCCATTTTAGGTCCCTCGTTCCCTAGGGGCCATTTTAGGTCCCTCGTTCCCTAGGGGCCATTTTAGGTCCCTCGTTCCCTAGGGGCCATTTTAGGTCCCTCGTTCCCTAGGGGCCATTTTAGGTCCCTCGTTCCCTAGGGGCCATTTTAGGTCCCTCGTTCCCTAGGGGCCATTTTAGGTCCCTCGTTCCCTAGGGGCCATTTTAGGTCCCTCGTTCCCTAGGGGCCATTTTAGGTCCCTCGTTCCCTAGGGGCCATTTAGGTCCCTCGTTCCCTAGGGGCCATTTTAGGTCCCTCGTTCCCTAGGGGCCATTTTAGGTCCCTCGTTCCCTAGGGGCCATTTTAGGTCCCTCGTTCCCTAGGGGCCATTTTAGGTCCCTCGTTCCCTAGGGGCCATTTTAGGTCCCTCGTTCCCTAGGGGCCATTTTAGGTCCCTCGTTCCCTAGGGGCCATTTTAGGTCCCTTGTTCCCTAGGGGCCATTTTAGGTCCCTTGTTCCCTAGGGGCCATTTTAGGTCCCTTATTCCCTAGGGGCCATTTTAGGTCCCTCGTTCCCTAGGGGCCATTTTAGGTCCCTTGTTCCCTAGGGGCCATTTTAGGTCCCTCGTTCCCTAGGGGCCATTTTAGGTCCCTCGTTCCCTAGGGGCCATTTTAGGTCCCTCGTTCCCTAGGGGCCATTTTAGGTCCCTCGTTCCCTAGGGGCCATTTTAGGTCCCTCGTTCCCTAGGGGCCATTTTAGGTCCCTCGTTCCCTAGGGGCCATTTTAGGTCCCTCGTTCCCTAGGGGCCATTTTAGGTCCCTCGTTCCCTAGGGGCCATTTTAGGTCCCTTGTTCCCTAGGGGCCATTTTAGGTCCCTTGTTCCCTAGGGGCCATTTTAGGTCCCTTGTTCCCTAGGGGCCATTTTAGGTCCCTCGTTCCCTAGGGGCCATTTTAGGTCCCTTGTTCCCTAGGGGCCATTTTAGGTCCCTCGTTCCCTGGGGCCATTTTAGGTCCCTCGTTCCCTAGGGGCCATTTTAGGTCCCTTGTTCCCTAGGGGCCATTTTAGGTCCCTCGTTCCCTAGGGGCCATTTTAGGTCCCTCGTTCCCTAGGGCCATTTTAGGCCATTTTAGGTCCCTCGTTCCCTAGGGGCCATTTTAGGTCCCTCGTTCCCTAGGGGCCATTTTAGGTCCCTCGTTCCCTAGGGGCCATTTTAGGTCCCTCGTTCCCTAGGGGCCATTTTAGGTCCCTCGTTCCCTAGGGGCCATTTTAGGTCCCTCGTTCCCTAGGGGCCATTTTAGGTCCCTCGTTCCCTAGGGGCCATTTTAGGTCCCTCGTTCCCTAGGGGCCATTTTAGGTCCCTCGTTCCCTAGGGGCCATTTTAGGTCCCTCGTTCCCTAGGGGCCATTTTAGGTCCCTCGTTCCCTAGGGGCCATTTTAGGTCCCTCGTTCCCTAGGGGCCATTTTAGGTCCCTCGTTCCCTAGGGGCCATTTTAGGTCCCTCGTTCCCTAGGGGCCATTTTAGGTCCCTCGTTCCCTAGGGGCCATTTTAGGTCCCTCGTTCCCTAGGGGCCATTTTAGGTCCCTCGTTCCCTAGGGGCCATTTTAGGTCCCTCGTTCCCTAGGGGCCATTTTAGGTCCCTCGTTCCCTAGGGGCCATTTTAGGTCCCTCGTTCCCTAGGGGCCATTTTAGGTCCCTCGTTCCCTAGGGGCCATTTTAGGTCCCTCGTTCCCTAGGGGCCATTTTAGGTCCCTCGTTCCCTAGGGGCCATTTTAGGTCCCTCGTTCCCTAGGGGCCATTTTAGGTCCCTCGTTCCCTAGGGGCCATTTTAGGTCCCTCGTTCCCTAGGGGCCATTTTAGGTCCCTCGTTCCCTAGGGGCCATTTTAGGTCCCTCGTTCCCTAGGGGCCATTTTAGGTCCCTCGTTCCCTAGGGGCCATTTTAGGTCCCTCGTTCCCTAGGGGCCATTTTAGGTCCCTCGTTCCCTAGGGGCCATTTTAGGTCCCTCGTTCCCTAGGGGCCATTTTAGGTCCCTCGTTCCCTAGGGGCCATTTTAGGTCCCTCGTTCCCTAGGGGCCATTTTAGGTCCCTCGTTCCCTAGGGGCCATTTTAGGTCCCTCGTTCCCTAGGGGCCATTTTAGGTCCCTCGTTCCCTAGGGGCCATTTTAGGTCCCTCGTTCCCTAGGGGCCATTTTAGGTCCCTCGTTCCCTAGGGGCCATTTTAGGTCCCTCGTTCCCTAGGGGCCATTTTAGGTCCCTCGTTCCCTAGGGGCCATTTTAGGTCCCTCGTTCCCTAGGGGCCATTTTAGGTCCCTCGTTCCCTAGGGGCCATTTTAGGTCCCTCGTTCCCTAGGGGCCATTTTAGGTCCCTTGTTCCCTAGGGGCCATTTTAGGTCCCTTGTTCCCTAGGGGCCATTTTAGGTCCCTCGTTCCCTAGGGGCCATTTTAGGTCCCTCGTTCCCTAGGGGCCATTTTAGGTCCCTTGTTCCCTAGGGGCCATTTTAGGTCCCTCGTTCCCTAGGGGCCATTTTAGGTCCCTCGTTCCCTAGGGGCCATTTTAGGTCCCTCGTTCCCTAGGGGCCATTTTAGGTCCCTCGTTCCCTAGGGGCCATTTTAGGTCCCTCGTTCCCTAGGGGCCATTTTAGGTCCCTCGTTCCCTAGGGGCCATTTTAGGTCCCTCGTTCCCTAGGGGCCATTTTAGGTCCCTCGTTCCCTAGGGGCCATTTTAGGTCCCTCGTTCCCTAGGGGCCATTTTAGGTCCCTCGTTCCCTAGGGGCCATTTTAGGTCCCTCGTTCCCTAGGGGCCATTTTAGGTCCCTCGTTCCCTAGGGGCCATTTTAGGTCCCTCGTTCCCTAGGGGCCATTTTAGGTCCCTCGTTCCCTAGGGGCCATTTTAGGTCCCTCGTTCCCTAGGGGCCATTTTAGGTCCCTCGTTCCCTAGGGGCCATTTTAGGTCCCTCGTTCCCTAGGGGCCATTTTAGGTCCCTCGTTCCCTAGGGGCCATTTTAGGTCCCTCGTTCCCTAGGGGCCATTTTAGGTCCCTCGTTCCCTAGGGGCCATTTTAGGTCCCTTGTTCCCTAGGGGCCATTTTAGGTCCCTCGTTCCCTGGGGCCATTTTAGGTCCCTCGTTCCCTAGGGGCCATTTTAGGTCCCTCGTTCCCTAGGGGCCATTTTAGGTCCCTCGTTCCCTAGGGGCCATTTTAGGTCCCTCGTTCCCTAGGGGCCATTTTAGGTCCCTCGTTCCCTAGGGGCCATTTTAGGTCCCTCGTTCCCTAGGGGCCATTTTAGGTCCCTCGTTCCCTAGGGGCCATTTTAGGTCCCTCGTTCCCTAGGGGCCATTTTAGGTCCCTCGTTCCCTAGGGGCCATTTTAGGTCCCTCGTTCCCTAGGGGCCATTTTAGGTCCCTCGTTCCCTAGGGGCCATTTTAGGTCCCTCGTTCCCTAGGGGCCATTTTAGGTCCCTCGTTCCCTAGGGGCCATTTTAGGTCCCTCGTTCCCTAGGGGCCATTTTAGGTCCCTCGTTCCCTAGGGGCCATTTTAGGTCCCTCGTTCCCTAGGGGCCATTTTAGGTCCCTCGTTCCCTAGGGGCCATTTTAGGTCCCTTGTTCCCTAGGGGCCATTTTAGGTCCCTCGTTCCCTGGGGCCATTTTAGGTCCCTCGTTCCCTAGGGGCCATTTTAGGTCCCTCGTTCCCTAGGGGCCATTTTAGGTCCCTCGTTCCCTAGGGGCCATTTTAGGTCCCTCGTTCCCTAGGGGCCATTTTAGGTCCCTCGTTCCCTAGGGGCCATTTTAGGTCCCTCGTTCCCTAGGGGCCATTTTAGGTCCCTCGTTCCCTAGGGGCCATTTTAGGTCCCTCGTTCCCTAGGGGCCATTTTAGGTCCCTCGTTCCCTAGGGGCCATTTTAGGTCCCTCGTTCCCTAGGGGCCATTTTAGGTCCCTCGTTCCCTAGGGGCCATTTTAGGTCCCTCGTTCCCTAGGGGCCATTTTAGGTCCCTCGTTCCCTAGGGGCCATTTTAGGTCCCTCGTTCCCTAGGGGCCATTTTAGGTCCCTCGTTCCCTAGGGGCCATTTTAGGTCCCTCGTTCCCTAGGGGCCATTTTAGGTCCCTCGTTCCCTAGGGGCCATTTTAGGTCCCTCGTTCCCTAGGGGCCATTTTAGGTCCCTCGTTCCCTAGGGGCCATTTTAGGTCCCTCGTTCCCTAGGGGCCATTTTAGGTCCCTCGTTCCCTAGGGGCCATTTTAGGTCCCTCGTTCCCTAGGGGCCATTTTAGGTCCCTCGTTCCCTAGGGGCCATTTTAGGTCCCTCGTTCCCTAGGGGCCATTTTAGGTCCCTCGTTCCCTAGGGGCCATTTTAGGTCCCTCGTTCCCTAGGGGCCATTTTAGGTCCCTCGTTCCCTAGGGGCCATTTTAGGTCCCTCGTTCCCTAGGGGCCATTTTAGGTCCCTCGTTCCCTAGGGGCCATTTTAGGTCCCTCGTTCCCTAGGGGCCATTTTAGGTCCCTCGTTCCCTAGGGGCCATTTTAGGTCCCTCGTTCCCTAGGGGCCATTTTAGGTCCCTCGTTCCCTAGGGGCCATTTTAGGTCCCTCGTTCCCTAGGGGCCATTTTAGGTCCCTCGTTCCCTAGGGGCCATTTTAGGTCCCTCGTTCCCTAGGGGCCATTTTAGGTCCCTCGTTCCCTAGGGGCCATTTTAGGTCCCTCGTTCCCTAGGGGCCATTTTAGGTCCCTCGTTCCCTAGGGGCCATTTTAGGTCCCTCGTTCCCTAGGGGCCATTTTAGGTCCCTCGTTCCTTAGGGGCCATTTTAGGTCCCTCGTTCCCTAGGGGCCATTTTAGGTCCCTCGTTCCCTAGGGGCCATTTTAGGTCCCTCGTTCCCTAGGGGCCATTTTAGGTCCCTCGTTCCCTAGGGGCCATTTTAGGTCCCTCGTTCCCTAGGGGCCATTTTAGGTCCCTTGTTCCCTAGGGGCCATTTTAGGTCCCTCGTTCCCTGGGGCCATTTTAGGTCCCTCGTTCCCTAGGGGCCATTTTAGGTCCCTCGTTCCCTAGGGGCCATTTTAGGTCCCTCGTTCCCTAGGGGCCATTTTAGGTCCCTCGTTCCCTAGGGGCCATTTTAGGTCCCTCGTTCCCTAGGGGCCATTTTAGGTCCCTCGTTCCCTAGGGGCCGTGTGTGGACCCCGGTTGTCTAGGGGCCATTTTAGGTCCCTCGTTCCCTAGGGGCCATTTTAGGTCCCTCGTTCCCTAGGGGCCATTTTAGGTCCCTCGTTCCCTAGGGGCCATTTTAGGTCCCTCGTTCCCTAGGGGCCATTTTAGGTCCCTCGTTCCCTAGGGGCCATTTTAGGTCCCTCGTTCCCTAGGGGCCATTTTAGGTCCCTCGTTCCCTAGGGGCCATTTTAGGTCCCTCGTTCCCTAGGGGCCATTTTAGGTCCCTCGTTCCCTAGGGGCCATTTTAGGTCCCTCGTTCCCTAGGGGCCATTTTAGGTCCCTCGTTCCCTAGGGGCCATTTTAGGTCCCTCGTTCCCTAGGGGCCATTTTAGGTCCCTCGTTCCCTAGGGGCCATTTTAGGTCCCTCGTTCCCTAGGGGCCATTTTAGGTCCCTCGTTCCCTAGGGGCCATTTTAGGTCCCTCGTTCCCTAGGGGCCATTTTAGGTCCCTCGTTCCCTAGGGGCCATTTTAGGTCCCTCGTTCCCTAGGGGCCATTTTAGGTCCCTCGTTCCCTAGGGGCCATTTTAGGTCCCTCGTTCCCTAGGGGCCATTTTAGGTCCCTCGTTCCCTAGGGGCCATTTTAGGTCCCTCGTTCCCTAGGGGCCATTTTAGGTCCCTCGTTCCCTAGGGGCCATTTTAGGTCCCTCGTTCCCTAGGGGCCATTTTAGGTCCCTTGTTCCCTAGGGGCCATTTTCGGTCCCTTGTTCCCTAGGGGCCATTTTAGGTCCCTCGTTCCCTAGGGGCCATTTTAGGTCCCTTGTTCCCTAGGGGCCATTTTAGGTCCCTCGTTCCCTGGGGCCATTTTAGGTCCCTCGTTCCCTAGGGGCCATTTTAGGTCCCTTGTTCCCTAGGGGCCATTTTAGGTCCCTCGTTCCCTAGGGACCATTTTAGGTCCCTTGTTCCCTAGGGGCCATTTTAGGTCCCTTGTTCCCTAGGGGCCATTTTAGGTCCCTTGTTCTGTTCCCTAGGGGCCATTTTAGGTCCCTCGTTCCCTAGGGGCCATTTTAGGTCCCTCGTTCCCTAGGGGCCATTTTAGGTCCCTCGTTCCCTAGGGGCCATTTTAGGTCCCTCGTTCCCTAGGGGCCATTT